GCGAGCTAGGTAGGGGAGGTCTGCTAAGCCATGTGTGTCAGTACTTTGGCTGGGGGTGGAACTTATAGATTGACAGTGCTAAGGAACCCCCTGTGTCCCTAGGGAGGCCCCTTTCCTGTAATCTTTTTTTTTTTTTTGAGATATTTGTGTCTACTCTTGGTAATGTTGGTCTCATGAAATGTGTTTGGAAACAGTACTTCTTTCTCAATTTTTGGTTAAGAGTTTGAAGATAGCTATTATTTCATCTTTGAAGATTTGGTAGAACTCACTACTAAAACCCTTGGTCCTGGGCTTTTTCTTTAGTGATAGGGGCAGACTTCTGATTACTGTTTGAAATCCTTGCCTGTAATTGGCCTATTCAGTTTTCTATTTCTTCCTGGTTCATTCTCAGAAGGTTATATATTTCTATAACTTGTCCATTTCTTCTAAGTTACTCAACTTACTGGCAAACAGATTTTTATTGTATCCTTTTATGATCCTCTGTAATTCTGCGATGCCTATTGTATAAGTTTCTATATTCTATTTCCTTCTCCAGACTCAATAAATACAAGCTCTCTTGCTCAAATATACAGGGCAACAATTTCGTCAAATCTTTTGCCATTGCATTCTACGGCTTACCATCTTTTCAACCATTGATATTAGGTGCATTATAGTTCACTGCTATGTAAAATGCCACAAAGATCTCCCCCACCCCCAGGAGTGTTCCACTTCATTGAGTGAATAAAATAGACAAAGCATCTTCTCTCATCAAGATATTTTAGGAAGGACAAGCTTGTTTAAAATGTATTCAAGATTTGTCAGGTGGGGTGAGATACACAGACGTGGAAATGACTTACATAAAAGAAGTTTTTATACATATAAATCCCTATAAACAGGAGCCACAGAAGACCACTAAGGGAAACACCCTGATACAAAGGGAATGTGACAAAAGGTCTTCATTATGGCTTTCACAGGAAAAAATGGATGATACAGGCTAAACAAACTGAACAAGTTTAGGATTGGATAGTTTGAATAGTTTGGGTAAGTTCTCAGCTACAGGGAGGACGTTAAGTGTCTGACACTGATCCTGGGGTGATTTAGGAAAGAATAGTGTCCTGAATGTTGGAGCCTGATAAAAGGAGACTAGTGGGGGGTATGGGCTCAGGATTGGCTAGTTTGCATATCAAAGGCCTGTTCCCAGGCAAGTTCTTTCCTAGCATTAGGAATTAGCTAGTTTGGGGAGTGGCAATGCCTCCCAGGGTCCTTAGGTTCCCAAGACATCCAAGCAACATAAAACATAAAATATTTTTTTTAATGACAAATAAAATATTGTCAAACATCGCTAAGAATTCTGCATATTTCCCTCTCTCTGCTAAATTTCCTTAAGGCAAACTCTAGATGTGTCATTTCACCACCACATATATCAGGTCATTTTTTTGCACCTCTGGGTCAAGATTTCTACCATCTTCTGGATTTGGCAGACTGTTGGTGCTAAGTTTAAGAGGTCTTCCAGATTTGATTGTTGTGTTTTAATAAAAGCAATACAGAATAGGTGAAGCAAATAATCTTCAGTAGTTTTGATATCAACATAAGCTTCAATCATGGTCTGTCGTTTAAAGATTTATTTATTATGCATACAAGAATTATGGTACAGGCCAGAGGTCCGGGAGCAGGTGGTGAGAGGATTCACCAGAGAGAGTGGGGATCAGAACAGGCAGATCTAATGTAATACACTGCTGAGGGAAGCAGAGGTCAGGAGAGATCTGCCACCATGTGTCACCTCCCTGACCAAGAAAGAACTCTTTGAACTCATACTGCAGAAATGTGGCTGCAGATAGCTTCATAGTGCTCTGTTTTAACTTGTTGCACCACAAGGGAGGGCCTATGTCATTTTTTAAACATATAACACATTTGTTTAGATTAAGAATCAGGGGCACCCCTGCTAGCTTGGGTGTTAAGTCTCAGCATTATCACCAAGGCCTTAGTTCAACCCCCAGCCAGGGAGCTAACTTAGATATGGCTCAGCAGATCTTTCCTGGCTCTCTCACTGCTCCCCTCAGCAGTGCATTTCAGTAAATCCACCAGTTCTGCTCCACCCTGTCTCTGGTGAATTCTCTCACTATCCATCTCCCCGCAACACCCCCCTCCACATACACCTCTGGCCTATGCAAAATAAATTTAAAAACTTTTTTAAAAAGGCAGTTTTTGCCCTGAACTTCCTCAGTAATTAGCTTGAATTTTCTAAGTTCAACTTCATCATTCTGCAGATCAGCAAGCCTCACTACAAAAATCTGAAGGCCATTAGATGTAATTTGGGTTCCTTGAGTTCTCACAGCTAGTGTTTTTCCAATATTGCTTATATATGATATTGCTGGTGATTTCACATCAAACCAATCTGTTAGAAAACAGGTCAATTGTTTTCTTCTTGGATGTTACCTGTTTATTAAAAAAAAAAAAAGATTTATTTATGCAATGCAGGAACTGGGGTGTAGGTAAGAGATGTGGGAGGGTTAGAGGATTCACTAGTGGCAGAAAAGGGAGCAGAACAGGTGACTTACTGAAGTACACTGCTGAGGGGTGCAGCGGGTGAGACAAAGGAGGTCTGCTGTGCCATGTGATCAGCTCCCTGGGGGTGAGGGGGGACTGAACTGGTGCTGCAGTGGCTGAGGATAGCTTCATAATGCTGAGACTTAACTCTTTGTAACACCAGGGAGGCTGTAAGTATGCAACCTTTTAGATGAAAGAAAGGATTTTACTTCCTACAGACATTATTTCACTAAATGTCTTAAAATTACCTAATGAGATCCTACTTCAAGACTAGTGCAACAGTGATGCACAAGCCATTCCGGTTTCTCTTGACTCCTAGTTCATACTGGGTCCTTTTTTGCCCAAGATTCTGCTATCCTTGACTTTCTTCCACTTTCAGCTTTTCTGTTATTCAGTCCAGGATTTTTATCACTTGAATTTCGTCACAGGTGGAAGAGCTGCTTGAGAAAATCAAGTCACTTAGTATTCATAACTTTCAGCATGTTGCACCTTAACATTTACAATCCGCATACACAGCCTGCGAAGTGAGGAAGGAAATTTTATTCTGACTGGAAGCCAGACATGTGGAAGAATTAGGGTATTTAAATCAGTCAATGTAGATGAAACGTCCCAGAAAAACAAATTGCGCTAAGGCAAGGCGATAAAATCTGAACTCAAACCTGATAGGGAATGCAGTAAAAACGGGAGAGGTCTACATACATTTGAAAAACATTTCTGTTAAAAGTCAATTGGGTAAAAGCGAGAACACCCTGGACTACTTGCAGACGATACAAAGACAGGCATGGAGTCACAGAGCAGGAGGGGCTATCCAGAATAGTCTAACGGCGAGCATTTCCCAGATTCCAGATATCCGAGGCGGCCATCGTGACAATTTCGCATTTCTCTCAAGGTAAAATGTACCAGACACGAGAGTTTCAAAACGTGCTAGTAAAAACTGAGTCCCTTCGGCTCCAGCACAGTCAGGCCGCCTTCCCTTCCGGCCGCCTTCCCTCCCAGCGTGCTCCTTTCTTCACAAATCTCGCGTTGTTTTCATGGTCCCCTGTGGCGGGAACACTCCGGAAGAGCCCGCGTAGCCTGCGGCCCGGCCTCTGCGGAAGTGACGTCGCAGCCCAGACTCCTTGGAGAGGGAGAGGCGCTTTCCTACGTTCTGCGCGCTTCCCGGTGTGGAACGCACAGGCAGCGTGCTCTGAGTGCTTGCGGGAAGGGGTGCGCGTGTGAGCTTGGCCGGCCGCGGCCTGAGCCTCTGGGGCGGCAGATTTGGCCTTTTCCTGCTGGTGTAAGAGCTCGCGGCGGGCAGCGCCGCGCTTCGGCCCGGCCTCACCATGTTGGTGCTGTTTGAAACGTCCGTGGGCTACGCCATCTTTAAGGTAGGTGGAAGAGCGAACGTTGGAGGAGAAAAGCGGGTGTGTTGGGCAGGCAGAAGAGGTTGAGATCTGAGGAGAGGACTCCCTGCTTCGGATGGAGTGCCTGCCCTTTATGCCCGCTGCTCTGAAAGGAAAGGGGAAGCTTTGGCCTTGGGAGGCACGTGTTTCGGGGAACACGTGGCCTCGCCGCTTGGGTTCTGATTGCAAAGACTTGATCGGGTTAAGAAATGTGGACAGGAGCCGTGTTAGGATTTTACATGTTTTATTCTTGAGTGTTGTGAGGAATTATTGAAAGGCTTTAAGCAGAGGAGTGAGGCTTAATCGTATTAGTGAAGTTGACTTGCCCTGTGGAGAATAGATTACGAAGGGACGAGAAAGGAAGTAAGGGTATATTTCCTTGAACGTGGGCAGATAAAACTGCTTGGAGTAAGGTTGGTGTGCAGGGAAGCATTCGCAGAAATTTTGACGGTAGAACTGACGGCATTAGGTGTGGGTTTTGATTTCAGTAAGTGGGTGAGTGATGACAGGGAAGAGAAAGTTTTGGGCGGTTTTTTTGGGAGAGGGGGAAACTAAAAAGTTCATTTGCGGGCTCTGTGAAGCTTACGATGTCAAACTTGGGCCTGCAACTTCATCTCAGGTTTGAAAGCTGGAAGAGATAATCTATTTGCAATTTGGTTGTTTCAATGTGATGGGGGGGGGGGGGAGAGTAGAATACCTGAAGGAGACATCACAAGCTTAAAACCCGACTTCTGCAAGGAGGTAGGGGCAGAAGGAGCTAACATTATGACCATTAACACAGTGCCGTATCACAAGGCATAAATAAGGCCCAAGCAGGTATCAGAGTGCTCTCGGGGGTGTCGATGTTGAAGCACATGTTGAGTAAAGATACAGAGATTGAGCCCATTGTGAAATCTCCCATCCCTTTAGGATTCCACAGTTACCCTAAATCAATAGCCAACAGTACACTCCACAAAGTAGTGAGTGACTCCTCCCAAAGAGAAAAAGGACTATGTCAGGGCAGTCTCTGCACTGGCTCGGGGCAGCAGTCCTCTGCCCAGCAGTCCTCTACCCACCTGTGACTATGCAGGTGCTTCTTCCCACCCACTGTCTCGTAGCAGGGCTGCAGCCTCCTGACTGCTTGTGATCAGTACCTGCGGGGGCTTCTCTGCACTGATCTCCCTTAGCAGAGGCCACTCTCCCTAAGGCCACCTGCCTGTAACCATGCAGGCCTCTCAGCAAACCCGTCCCTTTCAGGGCAGCTCTTCTGGTACGCTTGTGCCTATGCCAGAGTCCTGTACTACTCAGTCCTTTTCCCTAATAAACCTGCTCTTTAAATATAACTGAGCCTCTGTCTCTTGGAGAAACTCGCCTGGGGGATTCGCCACATGCCGCTGAACGGGGAACTCTGGGGAAACCTTTCCCAGAGTGAGCCCAAGAACCCCTCAATAACTCCCCCCCCAAAAAAAATTACAATAGGAAAAGTGAAATTAGAAGTCTGGCAGCACGGAAAAGGTTAAACAGGAAGGTTCCTCTAGGGGAATGCTATTTGGGATGTTAGGAAGAGTGAGGTAAATTGAATGTAATCCAGATCCAGGCATTCTTCAGAACTCCGAATATAACCATGAAAAACAAGTGCTTTTAAAATTTATACATACATACATACATACATATATGTGTATTGTGTATATATAAATACACACACATGCTCACATAAAAAAGTGCTAGATAAAATATGTAGGGCATTCTGGCTGTGAATCAATAGTTTGAAAGTTTGGATGGTTATAATGTTGATTTGGAGGAATTTTTTTTTTCTCGAAGTTTCTCCTAACGTTTGAAGTTAGAATTCTACATTAACTCGCTGGTTAAATAGACCTTTTTAAAGAAAATCAATGATTAAAAATAAAAAACTGATTTTGTTTATTTATCCTATTATTTTGGAGTTGTCTGTAATTGCCCTCATTTTAAGGGATGGTTTAATGGCTTAGAGCCCAGGAAGGTATCAGTTTTACTTTTCCCAGTCTCTTCTAAATTTGAAGGTGGAGTTCTGCCGGCGTCCCCAATTCTCTTGCCCAACAGCATCTGTAAATAAATTTATCTAAATTGATGTTATATGTATCCTGAATTAGATGCTGACCAGGGGAAGGAGTTCCTCACAGTCCACAGTTGCTTGTGATAATGGGAGTTGGTTTAGTAATTGTTTGGTTTCTACACCTAAGTCATAAAATTTTCAACTTTGTATGAATTTTTCATTATGTGAAGAGTATTCTTTATAAAACGACTATTTTGTTGCAGTTTCAGTGTTATTTATCTGCAGATTACTGATCAAAATTGTTAAATTGTTTGTGTAACTTCATAGAATAATAAGGACTTGACTCCTGAAACATTGATTCATTTGTGTTTAGAGTTCATAGCAGTTACCCATTTTTTGTGAATAAATTGGCCTTGCAAATTTTTTTGGATTTGTTTTAGAGTTTTGTGAAAACTGCTAAATGCTTTCTGTATGCCTCAGATCTGTGGTCAGCTTGCAAATTTTGTCTTTTTCTTGATCTTTGTTTTCTTTTTAAGAAATAGATTTTATATCATGACTGTATACACATACCCATATATGCAGAGTGGTTCAAAATGAAACACTTCTAAGAAATTCTGTTATTTAGAAGTTATATACACGAGTGTAAAGAAAATAAGTAAAAGAACTAGTCTAGTCATTTCTAGAATATTGCAAATACTCAACCGGTGTCCCTAATATCATATGACATGCAGAATACATCTAAAGTCTTCCTTTGGCCTAGATCTTTTCTAGCTGTACTGCCCAGTGTGTAGTAACCATTATTCATATATAGTTGTCACTTAAAATGTGTCTAGTACAACTGGAAGTGAAATTTTAATTCTAATTCATTTGACCATTAGTCCCATTGTTCAGTGCAGGTGTGTAACTGTGTTTCTTTATTTCCTCAAGGCATGCAAAAGTGAGGGAATTCTTAAAAATAGAATGTTTCCAGCAAAGATCCCACATAGATCTGACTTCACACTCAGTTATTATTAAATGGGTAACTTGAGTTAATTTAACCAAAATTTTATGCTTTGTAAGGAAACTTATTTCAGAGAAAAGGAGCTTTCACCCATTTTATATTTATAGTTGTACTTGGAGAGCTGTAGCCATACATGCCTAAATTGCCATTTTAAAAAATTGTTTAAATATTACAGGTACTGAATGAAAAGAAACTTCAAGAAGTTGATAGTTTGTGGAAAGAATTTGAGACACCAGAGAAAGCAAATAAAATGTAAGTGATCTTGACACTTAAGAATTTAGCTCGGTTTAACATTTAGAGATTTTTTAAAACTTTTTCTCTGATTCCGTATGTTATATGTTATATTCATCACTTTGTTTTGAAATGTTTTAGGAATAATACTGCTGTGACCCTGATTATTAAGATTCTTTGGAGCAGAGGCCACCTCTACTAATTTGTATTAGTTGTATTAGATTTGACAGCACCCCAAAGTTACTATTATAAAATATTTGAAAGCAGGGTTTATGTATTAAGCATGGATTTCTGTTAAAAGTAATAGCATGAAGTGCAGATTAACTTAGTTTCTCTAACATTTTATTCTATTTTTTTAATCATAATTCATGTTTTACTCATTCTTTGTCTTTCTGGCTCTCTCTGGAGTAATAATTAAAATCCTGAAAGCTAGAATTGAGTTCCCCAAGATTAGTGGAGAAGAATGTAGAATATAATTCTGAGACCCATCTGACAGAACAAATGTAGGAAAGAGCTGACTTTCCTCGTACAGAGTAAAGATACCTATATTACCAACTTTAAACAGCTCGTTTGGTGTGTCTGGTTCTAGGGAAGGACCTGACTGTTTTCTTAATAAATTTGAATCTGGATTGTTTTTGGATATCAGTGCATTTGATAATTCATGTACAAAAAAGGAAACTACATAAACTTGATAAAGACTGATAAATCCAAGAAGTTTGTATTAAACAATTAGGGAACAAGATAGAGATACAGTATTTATAATGGCAAAGATCCAAAACTTCAAACAACTTTAAAATGTCCATTACTGGCTGAATTGTTGAATACATTGTATGCTTATAAATCGTCTGTTGCTCTGGAGAGAGGTCCATGAAATATCAAGCACTTCAGAGTAGTGCTGTTCAAAGATCTTATTTATTTTTTGCATAGAAGATGTGGGGTGCAGGTCAGAGGAGTCCCCAAGGACAGATTGGGGAGTGGAACAGGCAGATCTACTGAAGTATCCTGCTAAGGGGAGCAGTGGGCAAAACAGGGGAGGTGTGCTGCACCTTGTTTAGGCCTTTTAGGTGCTAGTACTGAGACTTAACACTGCAGCCACCTGGCTGTCCCACTTCAGACTGGTGTGTATAATGTGATTTCCATTTTGCAGTATCCATGAACATCTATTCATGCAGTTATAGAAGACTAGAGAGATAGGAACAGAAGGATGGAAATGCATTGGGGATAGGGCAGATTAAGATGAATTTATTGCCTTTTAAATTTGCAATGTTAATTGAGTTGAAGAGTCTGCCATGTTGTAAAACCTTATTTAGTAGCACTCTTAGACATAAACAGAAGACTAGTTTAACTCAGTTGACAGAACTTCATTTGATTCATTGTTGTCAATGATGTATTCTTGTTGGAACTGAATCTGAATGATTTAATTCAAGTATTCGTCACTACCACTGAGGCAACAATGGGTTACCTATATTTGCTTCAACAGAACATGCCTTGCCCATAAATAAGTGTATGGAGAGGATGGGGGTAAAGTAAAGGCAATAGGAATCATTTATATTAGAGTGACCAATGAATGTTGTAAGATTCCTGACCTATATAAGGTAGGCCAGTTCTATGCTATCGTATAGGGTACTTGTGTCCAAATTTAAGCATCAGAGCTTAGGTTGAAGCTTCAACATCTTTCCTGAGGTTTAACTACATTAGCATACCTTTTTGATTTCTTGAGTTTCTTTGAACCTTATTTATAATAGCCTAAACATTGCTAGTGCACCACTTAGAGAAAATGGTCATTTCATAAAGGATATGTAGTTACATCCTGGTATCCAGTGACAGGAATTTTATTCTACCACTAATTCATACAAAGTGTCATAAACCCATTGCTACCTAAATAAAGGGTGAGGAGATAACTAAGTGTATGTTATAAGAAAAAAACATGTCTAAAGGGGCGTGGACCTTTTGCCAATCCCTCTTTCCTAAACATGTGCCTTGCAGAATCAGTATGCTTTTATAACTTTTTTTTTTTTATTCTAGAGTAAAACTAAAACACTTTGAGAAATTTCAGGATACAGCAGAAGCCCTAGCAGGTAAAGTCAAAGACTAGCTTTTGTTTTTTCATTATTATCATTAATTTGTCCATTTATTACCTTACTTAAAGATTATTTGCTTCAGTTACCTGAGTTAACCTTATTCAATGTTGTCAATGATGCATTCTTTTCGGAACTGAATTTAAGTGATCTTAATGCAAATTCGTCACTACCACTGAGACAACATTGAGTTAGCTTTTTTCACCATAGGGCTGTTTTTTTCCCCCCATGTGATGAGAGGTGTGAAGTGGTTAAGTTGATCTCCCTGTGGAAACCAACAGCCTAGTGCTGAAGCACAGTTCAGTAAAAGCTGTTCTACAAGGGACCAAGGTAATGTCAAGTACACAACTCTAGTAATTACAACCCACGAGTAAAGTTGAGTGTAGCCAGGATTTACAGCTGAAAGAACAATAAAGCTACTATCCCAGGGTATATGTTTTTAGTTAGAAAAAGAACTATATTATTAAAAGTTTTAGAAAAATTAAGAATTTGTGTGTTTAATATGAAAACTAGAGGGTTTATCTAAAACAGACATGGTTTTTAAATGATTTAGAAGAATAGCTGACTAATCCTTTAATCCTCATGTTGACATAGTGATAGGGTTTATTAACTAGTTTTAACATCATTAATACTTGATTACATGAGTTTGTTTTCTTTTTTTAATGTTAGAAGGGAAAAGATTTGATAAACCCCTAATCATAAGGTTTTTACATTCTGTGTCACAAGTTAGACATCGTGTTGGTGGTGAATTGAAAACGAAAACGAAGGAGCATAAAGAATATGACCAAGCGTTAGGCAAGAATTTGACAGACTCATAATTTTGATATCAGGGTATAGTTCTCTTAAAGATGAGAAATAGAACTAAATGTGCTGGGGCATTAACAGACAACCTCAAACTCGGCGTGGGTAAACCAAAGGGGAGGAACCAACAGCTCGCCAGTTTTAAAAAACAAAAATGTGATAGCATTTTAGTAAAATGCTTGAAAAAATGGTTAGATATATAGTCAAATCAGGGGTGCATTGTACACAGACTGATTTGAACTAGTCCTCCGGTAATTGTCTGCAAAGTATTACCGCCTCAGTCACAGATGGCCTCTTTTTAATTCCTTTTTGTATGTAACCTCTTTAATCTTTTTGGAATATTTCTGACCAGTCCTTTTTCAGTGCTCAGCTCCTTTCTCTATCCAACAAAAGGTGGTTTTTACTATTAATACCCGATGCATACATCACATCAGAATTGTTAATTGATCCTTGAAACAAAAATCACTATTTTACAAATCAATCTGAAGCTTGAGAGATATCTCACTTCCCTATCAGACTTCTTGGTATTCCTTAAAATAATGTAAGATAAACACAGAAAATGCCATAGAATTTAGAATTTAAACTCATTCCTTTGATAACCACTCTCCTGCCCCTTCTATTCCATGACGGCAGACACTTTATTTTTTTTTTTTTTTTTTAACTTTTTTTAAAGATAGAACTGGGATATAAACAGACATGTGGAGGGTAAGGGAGTGGGGAGCAGAACAGGCAGATCAACTGATACACTGCTGAAGGAAGCAGTGAATGGGTCAGGTAGGGAGAGGTCTGCCGTGCCATGTAGATCAGCTCCCTGGCCTGGGATCAAACTCTTGTACTGCAGCTGTGGATAGCTTCACAGTGCTGCACTTAAACCCGCCATGAGGGAGGGCCCCAGAGACAATTTTGTTCTTAACTGTCACATTCCTACATTTCAGTGTAAATTTTTTAATAAATGAATGAAAGTAACAATTTCTGTTAGGAATCTGGTTGTAAAATCTCTATAGTGCCTTTTCCCATCTATTTTTATAGAAAATTGAGTATTACCTTATTAAAATACCATAACATTATGGGCCCTCCCTGGTGCCACAGCTGGTTAAAGCACAGCACTGTGAAACTACCAAAGCTACAGGAGCACAGGTTCGATCCCCAGCCAGGGAGGTGACTCACATGGCATGGCAGACCTCCCCATGACCTGCCTGTTCTGCTCCCTACTCTGTTTCTGGTGAATCCTCTCACTCCCACGCCTCTGACTGACCTGTATCCCAGTTTCTGTATGCATAAATAAATCTTTTTTAAAATGCCTTAGTACTTTTTGGGAATTAATTTCCTGTTATCCATTACAAGGCACTTTTGACAGAACCAATCCAAGTAGTTGCAAATATCACAGCAGGCATGTAAAGCAGGCATGTCGCTTAAGAAAGAGTGATGGGGTATGATGGTAAGAATTTACATTGGTCCTTGAAAGTTCAAATACTGTCAACTTTTCAAATTACAAGTCTTCTAAATAAATGGCTATGATAGAATTTGGAACCAGCCTACAGTTGCATGAATTGAGAGGACTACTAAGGGATGCTGAAAAGTGGTTAGTTGAGATAAGTTGACTGAATTGTTCCTTTTTTCCTTTTATCACTGTGTGCCTTATCTTTTAAGTTACAATGCATATCATGAAGAGTTTTACAGATTTTTTGATAAGGGGAGATAAAGGGTTTTGAATGTTAAAGATCTAGAGTATAAACTGTTTTTAAGAAATATAAAAGATTGAAAACTTATAAGAACCCAACTTTTATTACAAAGCAGTTTTTTTTTTTTTAAGATTTATTTATTTATGCATATAGAACTGGGATATAGGCCAGAGGTACAGGGGCGGTGAGAGGATTCACCAGAGACAGCGGGGAGCAGAACAGGCAGACTGATGAAGTACCCTGCTGAGGGGAGCAGCAGCGGGTGGGTCAGGAGAGGTCTGCCGCCATGTGGTCACCTCCCTGGCTGGGCATCAAACTCGTGTTGAAGAAGCTGTGGCCATCTTCATAGTGCTGCTCTTTAACATGTTGTGCTGCCAGGAAGGGCTTAGGAAGGTGGATTCGGCTGTAAGAAATCAATGTACAAAATGTAAAAGTTAAAACCCAACAAAATTAGATTGAATTCTAACTTCTTACAGTGCCAGAGACCTCTAGAAGAACTATGTGGCAGTGAGGTGGTTTTTGCCCTCAACTTTGATCTTCCCAGAAAATAGGTGAAGTGAGCTTATAATTCATACTTGTAGGGATATGGCCAGGAAGGAAGAACAGTTAGTACCTGGTTCAGCCCAAACTATCCGATCTAAGTAGCAGATTGGGAAATTGCCAAAAATTAAAGCACTTATCCCAAAGTATCCTGCCTTCAACAATAAGTTTTCCATCACTGAAGTTTTACAAGGAGAGAATTTGTAACACGTCTGTATCAGAAGTAGGAAAAAAACAGGGTCTCTGCAGATATATTTACATTGAGGCA